ACTTGATTTTAAAAGGCGATATATGTGTTGACTATTTCAAGTCTGGAAAGTAATAAAGCTAAAGTTAAGACCATGGGCTTGATAACACTAAATACCTGCTATATCATGTCTTAAATGCTGCACTGTTTCTTGATCTACAGAGCAGTCGGGTTTCAAGTTAAAAAAAAGTATATTACGACGTTGAATTTACTTCAAAAATATGCCTGCATTTCATGTTTGTAAGGAAAACTCATTAATTAATCAAAAGGCTATATGGCGATTATTCAGTATATGTATAATTCTGACAGAAATGTACCATTTTGCTTTATTGACTTATGGTAGAATATAACCAAGCATTTGTTGGCTGATGTAATGTGGGACGTATTTTTACCTCCTAAATAATCATGACGTTTCACACAACCAGCTTTTCTCATTGGTTGTTCAAAACTCCATGTCCCACATCACATCGGACAGTCACTAGATATAAACGTATCAATTTAGTAGTACAAACTGATGACTCAGTTTTTATGCTTTCATGTAAGTGTAAATAATCATGAGAAATATTAACCTGCCTATTAGGACATAACACTTGATTTTAATAGGCGATGTGTTGGCAAGTTGGACGATGATGTGTAAAAGGCTGTTGGCTGTAAGTGATATTTTATGTAAATCTTATGTGATTTAGATGGTGTAGTTATTGTTTAAAAATTCGGGCCGACTTTAGGGTTGTTATTGGTTTAAAACCGTTGTTTTGACCTAAAATGCAAGCCATAAAGCAATAATCAGATCTACTCATCAAATGCAGTTGTACACTCTGGGACTTTTTGAGTAATCAGCTATGCAAGCGAGTCTTCCGATTTCAGGTCTGAAAAGTAATTAAGCTAAAGTTAAGACCATGGGCTTGATAACACTAAATACCTGCTATATCATGTCTGAAATGCTGCACTAGTTCTTGATCTACAGAGCAGTCGGGTTTCAAGTAAACAAAAGGGATATACAACGTTGATTTTACTTCAAAAATGTTACTTCAAAAATGTGCCTGCATTTCATGTTTGTTAGGAAAACTCATTAATTAATCAAAAGGCTATATGGCGATTTTTCAGTATATGTATTTCTGACAATATGTACCATTTTGCTTTATTGACTTATGGTAGAATATAACCAAGCATTTGTTGGCTGATGTAATGTGGGACGTATTTTTACCTCCTAAATAATCATGACGTTTCACACAACCAGCTTTTCTCATTGGTTGTTCAAAACTCCATGTCCCACATCACATCGGACAGTCACTAGATATAAACGTATCAATTTAGTAGTACAAATTGATTACTTAGTTTTTATGTTTTTATGTAAGTGTATATAATCATGAGAAATATTAACCTGCCTATTAGGACATAACACTTGATTTTAATAGGCGATATATGTGTTGGCAAGTTGGACGATGATGTGTAAAAGGCTGTTGGCTGTAAGCGACATTTTATGTAAATCTTGTAAAAAGTGTAATAGTCGCTGGTGATTTAGATGGTGTAGTTATTGTTTAAAAATTCGGGCCGACTTTAGGGTTGTTAGTGGTTTAAAACAGTTGTTTTGACCTAAAATCCAAGCCATACAGCGATAATCAGATCTACTCATCAAATGCAGGTGCACACTCTGGGAATTTTTGAGTAATCAGCTATGCAAGCGAGTCTTCCGATTTCAGGTCTGAAAAGTACTTAAGCTAAAGTTAAGACCATGGGCTTGATAAAACTAAATACCTGCTATATCATGTCTTAAATGCTGCACTGTTTCTTGATCTACAGAGCAGTCGGGTTTCAAGTAAAAAAAAGTATATTACGACGTTGATTTTACTTCAAAAACATGCCTGCATTTCATGTTTGTTAGGAAAACTCATTAATTAATCAAAAGGCTATATGGCGATTATTCAGTATATGTATTTCTGACAGAAAATGAACCATTTTGCTTTATTGACTTATGGTAGAATATAACCAAGCATTTGTTGGTTGATGTAATGTGGGACGTATTTTTACCTCCTAAATAATCATGACGTTTCACACAACAAGCTTTTCTCCTTGGTTGTTCAAAACTCCATGTCCCACATCACATCGGACAGTCACTAGATATAAACGTATTAAGTTAGTAGTACAAATGATTACTCAGTTTTTATGTTTTATGTAAGTGTATATAATCATGAGAAATATTAACCTATTAGGACATAACACGTGATTTTAATAGGCGGTGTGTTGGCAAGTTGGACGATGATGTGTAAAAGGCTGTTGGCTGTAAGTGACATTTTATGTAAATCTTGTAAAAAGTGTAAAGTCACTTGTGATTTAGATGGTGTAGTTATTTTTTTTAAATGCGGGCCGACTTTTTGGTTGTTATTGGTTTAAAACAGTTTTTTGACCTAAAATCCAAGCCATAATTTAAGCGATAATCAGATCCACTCATCAAAAGCAGTTGTACACTGGGATTAGTTGAGTAATTAGCTGTGCAAGCGAGTCTTTCGATTTCAGGTCTGAAAACTAATTAGGTTAAATTTAAGACCATGCGCTTTATAAAACTGCAAGACTGCCTAACTAATACCTGCTGTGCTACGTCTTAAATGCTGCACTGTTTCTTGGTCTAGCGGTCGGGTTTCAAGTTTTAAACAAGTATATATGACGTTATTTACGTCACAAATAATTTCATTTTTGTTAGGAAAGCTCATTAATTAATCAAAAGGCTATATTGCGATTATTCATTATATTTGTTACAGATATTAATCAAAAGGCTATATTGCGATTATTCATTATATTTCTTATAGAAATTTACCAATTGCTAGAATGTAACCAAGCATTTGTTGGCTGATGTAATGTGGGACGTATTTTTCCCTCCTAAACATTGATGACGGTTCACTTTAACCAGCCTTGCTCCTTGGTTGTTCAAAACTCCATGTCCCACATCACATCAGACAGTCACCAGATACAAACGTATCAATTTAGTACAAATGGATTACTCAGTGAGTTTGAAAACCCTTCAAGACATCTTGTTCAGTGTATATTCATCACTTGCATGAAGGTCATTTGCTAAGATTGACGCAAGTTGGAGCGGGTTTTTTTCGGGGGGGGGGGGAATTCATTGTGGAGCCTGACATTCATAGTATTTTGATTTCATAGACTGCAATAATGACACTTTTTAAAGCCTATTTGTAGAACACGTTAATTCTGAACAATGTTAAGATTTTTTGCGCAGTATGAAAGAAAGTCGGTTAGTGGTATCAGGAATAACTTGTTAAAAAGTCTAGCATAATGTTTTGCCTTTCGTTCTTTTTTTTATTGAGCCATTATGATAATGGATCGGAACCAGTACATGTTTAATGCAAACTTGTTGGTAATAACAGGCTTTCTTACGATGCCTAAACGTATGACAGATATCCACTACATTATGTAAACATGTCGTAGATACAAGTGGGGACAATTTAGTGTTTACAAATAAACGCAATAGAATTGTTGTTCACGAAAAAAATAATAACTTGTTTCCGTTAAGTTGGCGACGAGTTTGGATAACTATAGTCAGTGGTCCAGAGTAAACAGAAATATTCCCCCACATACTTTTGTGGTTCGAATTCCATCACGGGTGAACATTATTTCCTGTGAATGTAAGATACAAAGGCCTGTTTACGGTTCAGTGCCGACGTTCACATTGGGGTTTTCCCGAGCAAATCCCTATTTTCCCCAATGTTATTTTAGTCTAAGATTGCGGTTTTTTTTCAACACGGCCTCTACTTCTATAGGTGTCCATTATATTTGTCATGTACTCTAAAATGTCAAGGATATTTAGTGCAGTGCTTCGTATAAGTTGTGTAACGCTAAAATATTACTTCCGTAAATTAAATAAAATTCGGTGAGGGCAATTCGCAAGCAATAGGACTGAATTTACCATTTAATATGCAATGACAAAAGGGAAAACACGGACTTTCTTAGGCCAGAGATAAGACAACAGACGTCATCTTCATCATTCTGTTTAAGATTGAGGGCGCTAGCCGTCTTTTTACAGGCATGACGTAATGTTTGATAACCTTTTGTTGCTTACCGGGTACTAGGCGGATGGGGCTCAGTTGACGCACAGTTTGTGGGTCCCAAAAAACACACACAATGACAGGCACAGGCGCTTCAGGTTTAAGGTTATTATAAAGATATCATGGTTTTACAGCCGAGAGTCGTACAATAGGAGCTGCAGAACAGGTTCTCGGACTCCCTTTTCCGTGAAAACAAAAATGTAAAATATGTCTAACTTTACGTCAAAGGGCAAAATCTCAATATTGAGAGAACAAAAAGGAACAAAAAGAATTTATTGTATTAAACAAATAAACCACAATGTATTCGAATTTGGACTAGTGAGCGCCGTGTGCAAACATAGTACGTTCGCAAATCGCACTTTATAGGCCTAAACCCCAACATTTCTGATTACTTTAAATTTGATAAGATTCTTCACGTACAGTAGTAGGATTAAGTACGGACCCTCTCGTTTAGATCGCGACGACATGCACCAAATTAAATCAGCCTTAACCATGGGAAAACATTATCCTAGCTAGTTGCCAATGCCCTATCTGAGGGCGCTGTTGATTTTAAAACTGAAACTTTAACCATAGTCCCCTATCGACGAATCCGGGCGAGAGATCGCGATACACACATGAGGCCCCCTTCAATGGAGAAACCATTGTGCACGCTTTTGTTCAAAGCAACCGACTCATAACGGAGAATATGAAAAGCTAGCACAATGCTTTCGCCATTGGAGACGCTGTGATGGAAAGTAATAACCGGTAATCTGAATTGGTCTATAAGCCACGGGTATCAACCTATAAGCTAAGACTACATACAAAACCGGCATGAGCCGCTGTCCCCGAACCTTTTCCACTTTTCAAGCCGAATATTTGGATTTGTTGCCATATATTTTGCAAGCAGTTATATTCACTTTTGAATGAAACAAAAGAAATCAAACACATGCATGGACAAAAAGAACGACCATCCATCTCAGAAATATACAGCTGATACAATTCTTCATTTAAATAAATTGTTGTAATCTAAAATATGTTGTCTCCAAGATTATCAAACTGAACCAATCATTTCGCGGTACGCATAGGCCTATTACTATGCGAAAATTAAATTAACACTTCTGCATATTTTGCTGAAAGTTTGCATACAAGTCATGTACAAGTCAATTGCAATCATAGACAATCTTATTACAATCACAACTTACTGGAAGAAACTCAAATAATTACAAATCAATAGCAAAATTCATGGCCATTACTCCAATATTACTCGGCTAAAGTATTAAAGGCTAATAACAGGTTTTTGTTCAAAGATTTCGACCATTCTTTTCTTTTAGCATTTCACAGTTTATCTGAATTAACAAATGAAATTTTATTACTAAAGAACTAAAAAAGAAAGAAAAAAAGCTGCCATGTTTCTTAGTTGTTTATAGTGTGCATCTTTTTTCCTTTTGTTTTTTACCTTTCAAACCATGCCCATCCTAGAATGTAAAGACTTTCTTTGGTTGGACATTTTTTGCCAACAATGGGTTGGCAAACTATGGAGGGTCAATGTTGCATTTACAGAATCGGATTGTTGAAAATCCAAAATCACCAAGAAACCCTACCAATGACAATAAATTTGCCTCTTTCTTACTAAAAGAAGGCGCCAATGATGATTTTTAAATTTTGTTGCCAACCACTGGTTAATTTACAAAATGGCGCTCAATTTTAAAGGTCTATGAGACTTTTGTGAGATAATTGATCATCATTTACATGTTTTGTTCAACGAAGAAATGGTTTAACTTTCCGGCCATCAATCCACACTCGGCCTATTGGAGAAGCTGCATTGCAGCGGTGTCTGGATGGCACATTGTGGCAAAAAAACACTGTACTTAGTGTAGGCCATCAACCTGGGGGTTTGGTCAGTATCAAATGAGGGGAATAATGCTCACTGTGATTTTTGGCAAGGTATACTCCCATGTAGTTGGAAACTATGCGCTAGCATTCCAACGACAGCTTTTTGGGTACGATCACTTAAAAAAAAAATGGCGGCCAAAACATGCTTGTTACCACATATAATTAATCCGGTAAAAAGCATATTAGTGGCCAAAATTGTATTAAAGGTGATAACACCCACAAAAACTGCCACCGCTCACACTGCAAAGCTATCACACATTTTCCAACTCTAGATGTGCCTACCTTGCCAAAAATTGCTATGAACATTGCTCCTTCCGATCATTTGATACCGGTGGCCCAATTTTTGGACCAAAGCTGATAGCCTACTGCTACCTTTGCAGCAATCTTTAATTCATATCATTGCTCCATTCGTTTTTAATTAACACAATTAAACATTATAAAAATGAATATAACATATAAAATATAAAACTAATGATAAATAAGACAAAGTTGAAATTTTATATAAAGAAAAATATATTTCCGATTCTGTTCTAGCTTAAATTGACCTAAACTATAAACTTCAAATTTTTGTTCTTCTTAATAAAACAAAAAGTTGTTTAATTGTTGACCTACGACAAGTTCCATTGCAACTCTTTTTAATCATCTTTCACTTTCTGGAATTTCAACTCATATTTTTAACACTGTACAATCCGCAAATATAAACCATATTTTTTTCTTGATGTACGACGCGCATACATAACCTTTAAGCCTAGTCTAGAAAATAACAGCAGATTTTTTTCAAAAACACCTGTTAAATTATATGCGAAGCAAAGCACACTGATAAAGAATTCTGTTTTCTAGGCTTAAAAATAAATTATTTGTATTGTTTTTTTTTTCTTCATCCAAAAGAAATAATACGCCCAATGGCTAATTTTATAGATTTTAGGTAAAAAGCAAAAAGTCCGTTTCTAGACCGATCAAACGTTTAGTTTTCTTGGTGTTCACATAAAGTGAACGTAACTTCATTTCACTGCACATTCTAGATTGTCTTGACATCCGTTAGTACACATTATTACACAGAACACAAAACGAGTTGAACAAATACTTGCAAATAGTTCCATTCCGAAGTTTGCCAAGGTTGGTTAACCCCGTAACCTTTGCGAAATACACTCCCCGTTGAACTCGTTTCATATTGGATTCAAAAACAGGTTCGGATGAGCTCTTTAAACACTCCTCTGCGTTTTGGGCATTAAACTGCTTAAAGGTAGCTTTATGCCTCAACACTTTTACACTACGTTTAAAGTAGTCAGACCAGGTTTGAAACAAAAATGCACGAAATGCGGAACCATGCTCATCTGGTGGGGATGCTTGCCATTCTAAACTTTTCAGGAGTGCATTCTCTAAGAACGGATGACCTCTCTCAAACTTCATAAAAGAAAGATCGAACGCATTCTGCTCCTCACTTCCCCAAACTAGAGCATTTGTCATCCAGTTATTAAGTTTTCGTAAGAGGATAACATCTGCGTCAATGTATACCCCACCCCAGTTGAAAAGTACGGCCAATTTTGCAAAAACGTCTTTGTTTAACCCGGATCCATATCTCTGTAGATTCTGTACATCCGTTTTATTTTTGAACAGGGCAGTATCGATGCTTGTCCTAAGTGTCTGTACTTCAATAGTGTAACCAGCCTCTGTTAGTACATCAAATTGACCTGGCTGTAAGCTATCACTATGAATGATAACCCTGGCGTGAGGATAATGATAAAATATCGATTCAATCGTCCGCCATTTTGGCCAGTTGAGGCTTGTGTGGTTGCTGGTACTGTTTATAATCAAATGTAACACCAATTGAGCTGCCATGTCTTCACCGGGAACAGAGAGGGGTAACAGGCCAAATTTACGAGCGCCATCGTACATAACTTGATCCTGTCGAATCACATTCCAGTCTGTGGCTCGAAGGCGCATGCGCAAGCTGACGTCAGGGTTTAGCGGGGGCTTCGTCCAGTTAAAATCACGTAGCCACTGTTCAATCGATTTTTCTGACATGTTGTAGGCATCTATGGTGTGGAAGAGAGGCGTAAGTCCCGTGACACGGGGAGAAACGATGGCGCGTGCTGCATTGCCCCCAGGCATGTGATCGGAATTGAGGAAAATAACCGGTGTTCCCATGGCAACACAGGGAAGTGCGCAGTGGACACGCTGTGTAATAACAACATGTGCCCGAGAGTATCTGTCTATCAAGTTGTATGCCGCTTTAAACCGTTCCTTGATGGTAGACTTGCCGTGACCAATACCGCGATGGGTGATGCGAATTGCTCTCTTTTGAATATCCGAAGGAAGGAGGGCAACGAAATCTTTCTTAACGTCGACCAGAAATATTTCGCCTGAATGCCTCTTCTGGACATTTGGAGTTTTGATGAGGAGTGTGAGACAGCCAGAAAAGAAGGCATCAACGTTGATTTGCCTCAGGAACTCCAATGTGCTAGTATCCCTACATCCTATTGGTGCTCTAGCTTGAAGGTATTTGGCTTGTGTCGTGAATAACGGCTTTACAATACGGTGAATATGCAAAGACAGCAGGATGGGCTCGATGTTTGGCGGTGGCGGCCAAGTCATCATATGATACCCGTACCACGCGTTTAGAAACATACGGGTGTGATTATCCTTTCTTGATTCATCAAAGTTATCTCTGTCAACAAAACGGTCAACAAAAGGTAAGAACTGTATCCCCGGGAAGCCTTGTATCTGGTCGCCTAGGTTTGCCGTCTCCGATCCACTCACTCGCCGTGCGTATGTAAGTGTTCCAAAATGGCGTCTTCTTGCGTCAACTACAGAAATTCTCTCGAGGTCGTTTGCTAGGCCTGTAGGACAATTAGGGACTCCAGACATGCAGGATTGGCTGTACATATCACTCACCACTGCCTGAAAATCAAACTTCTGCAACGAGCCTGGCTTTGCGTTGGTAATATTCCGAGTGTAGTGGCGGCAAAACGCCTTGGTAAGATTTGCTATGAAACCACTGTGAGCTGGAAACTGAGATACACTAAGAATCCCGTGTGTTATAGTTTTTGTGAGGTTTGTCTCAATACTGACCCAAGCCTCTTGATCCGCTGGGGCAGTAAACTCGCTTAGCTTGATCAAGGGATCGAAATGAATGCCACCATGATGCCATAGCAGAGCTAACCTCACCGCCTCGTACACGTGATCTTCAAAGTCAACACCTGTCAGTATCTTGTGGATTGGATGTCGGACTAACCAACGTTCCAGAGAAGTCTTCTTAAAGATCTCTGGTAACACTAGAAACTTCCCTGTAACCCCTGTGTTGTCCAAGTCTTGCACTGCCTTCAGGCACTGGGAGCTACCGCAGAATACCTGAACAGTCGCACCGGGATTCGTACGCGAAAATGCGTCAATATTGTCTACAATATTGTACGGAATTGGTCTTTCATACACCCAAGCTGTAGTGACAAAGTGTTTTGCTGTGCCTTGGGCATGTCGCATGTGTAAGTGGCTCACGAGTGCAACTGGTTGAAAGAATCCCAGGAACCAACAAAACGAGGTTACACCAAAGACGAGGATGGTAAGAGAGAAATATTGCCTCATTTTAATCATCTTCATGGGAATCCGGCCTCCTTGATAAATGTAATGTCCAATTAAAATTACCAAAAGACCAGTGACTGTCCAGAATGTAAACGGTGTTGAGAAGACAAACATATTTGCCAGAATAACAAACATTCTCTTCATGAGGTTCAACAAAGCATGTACCACGGGACTGTATGCTTGGAGCACCGTTATAGAGGCGGCGTTGTAGATGAAGTGGAAGGTGGCAGAGGTGCAACTCTCCACTTGAGGTAGTTTACCTAAGCTGCTCATGCTCATCATTGCAAATGGAAGCAGAATCAAGACGCTGAAGTTGGAAATTGCTGCATATTTCTGAAGAGGACCCTCCCAAGACTCGCCCAGCATTTTCAGGTAGATGTTGCGTATCGGGAATGCGATGTTGGAGATAACTGCAGCACCAATTCCCCAGATATTGTAGGAGACCTCGCCTGAGATAAACAGACATGTGCCCACCACCATGGCGATGATTGAGAACAGCACATGGCGGGTCAAGTTGACACTGTTTTTGTAAAACAGCAGTGTGAAAACAAAGGTGAAGATTGGTTCACAGGATTTGATGACTTGAGTCAAGCTCGAACTGACTGCAGCAAAAGACGCATTAGTGGCCAGATTCCCGACTACGTTGCCAATAACTGCAAGTAGCATGTGTTTGGGGTTGATGGAAGAGACGGGGAAGGCAGACTTGCCACGGACCACCAAGAGCCACGTGTTGGCTAACAGCACCCCCATGAGGTGCTGTAGCATCGTCAATTCAATCCACCTGAGATCCTTTAAGGCCGGTGTCCAGGAAGTCAGACTGTTGATGGCGTCAGGTTCGATGCCACTGAGTGCTTTCTTTGATGCTATGGTGGCAACCATGTTAGCAATCCACCAAACTGCTACAAATACTACCACCGAATCCATGCTATTGGAGTATGCCTACCTATGCGAAATGGGATTTAAAAAAATAGTCCAAAGTTAATCACAAGGATAGAGTAATATCTTATTTTAAACGTGCACGACGTTTAGATATCATTGGCAGACTGTTTTCACCACTTTTATTTCGACGGTCTGGGTTCAAAAGATACCTTGACGAGAAAAAAATGTGTATGCCTTTTACATATTTCCAGCATTATTTAATGCCAACAAGATATGATGAGCCAAAGCTGTCAACGTCATACTAGCACAGCATTATAATACACACTGTTAGTGACAGTTCATTAAGAATCAGTGGTATCAATTTTGTCGATACAACGTTTTCGGAAACTGGGATAAAAGACGAGCACTCCAAAGGCTCTATTTTGGAGGACCAAAATGTTGTACCCCAAAAATCTTTCGAAGGATATTAACACGAAAACCACAATATTCAAGGTATAGTTGCGTGGACATTTATAATCTACTTTTTAAGTATCTTTCCAACTACTTGTAGGTATATTATCATTTCGTAAGAAATGGGTCTGAGAGCTAGAAAGGCAGCATCCCGTTTGAAAGTTTCCATTGAGGAAGTAGTAGCTATATCCTTATTTGTGCAGCGTAATTTGACAATGTTTACCGATAGAATTTGAATCTCTAATCATTTTTTACGTGTTTGATTCACTGATCTCAATGTTAAACAAATTTGGATGGCTGGTTGGCCATTCCAAGCCAGTCTTAATTGCGGTTTCCAAGGCTTTGCATCATGCGTTTATAATGAAAGTTAATGCGTTTACGTAAATCAACACCACTTTTTGAAAGTTCCGAGTTTGAAACAAATATGCATGCTCAGTGTGATTTAATTGCTAAATTATGGTGGAACAAGTCCTAAACTTCATGTCGGTGAAAAAAATTGCTGTTATTGATGCAGAATCGTCAATACTGGTCACTGGTAAAGCTCATCTACAAGTCGTGGAAAAATCGTTTGAAAAGGTCCCCAAATTACTTATCTCAATTTCTTGGAATCCTTACCGTTTCTATTTCAGGAGTAGTTGAACCATGACTGAACAAGGCCCATACAATGTATCATCTAAGTGTATTCAGAATTTCACTTTCATGTGCACGCTTGTGTTACACCTTCTACTATCACCAAGGTCAATTGTTTTAAAGAAACACAATACGTTGAGTAAATAAAGTGTGCATGTCCAAAAAGATATCTTATTTTTTTTAATATATTGTTCTTGGAGTGTTCATATGGCGGACGGTGAGTTCACTTCTAACAACAATAATGGGCTATCTAGAGTTCGATTGCTCATTGTCCATACTCTGCACAGACACAGTTCTCCCTTTTCCACTTTGTTCATTAGTAAATGATTATCGAATTGTAACTTTACAACACTCATGATCAGCCATATGATTGCTAACCGCAAAGCGTCGCCGTTGTTTGGCAAAACTAATCCGATTACGTACCCAAAAAAACATGGCATTTTAAACGTTGTGTTTCTCAGAAAACATGCTGGTTATGATTAAAATGTTACATTCTAACTGAAGAAGAAATTCCAAACTTCATGTCAGCGAAAAAAATCGCCGTCATCGATGCCGAAACGTCAATACTGGTTGCTGTCAAGGCTGACCTTCAAGTCTGGAAGAAATCGTTCGAAAACTTCCCCAAATGTATGTATTTATCCCAATTTCTAGGAATTTATCCCAGTTGTTATCTCACGATTAGTTGAACACTGATAACATCTAAGTATATTCCGATATTCAGCTTAATCTGTTGTTGTGGACGCTAGTGCTACAACGTGAACCATCTCCATGGAAAATTTCGAAGAAAATCTAAAACATTATTTGCCGACCCAACCCGTGTTCATTGTTCAGCAAAGCGCTGTAGACGCTACGGCTGATCGATTTCGGCCCAGCACACAATGATAACAGGCATATTAGCATATTCATTAGTGTCACTAGGCGTTGGCGCGGGACTCTGTATCGACTAATGGAAGCCGGCAAAAAGGGTGAAATCTGTTAATTAACAACTCGCGAAGGAGGCTTTTATCCCATTGTTTACTCCACACCGTAATGGATAGGAACCTCATTAATATTCGTGAGGCTTGAAAAGACTGATAGATATTGCGCACACCAGTGTTACAATTTTCAAAATTGCACGTAGCGAGGCCTATTTTTCCGATTTCAACGACAAGTAATAAACATATCACAACAACTTTTAAACATACTTGGATCATTATAGGGGAAATAAATCCTGAAAGTTGCATGAAGATACGGTCTTCCAAACTGGAGAAATTAATTTTCAAATATTTCATCCGCCAACGTGACCATGTCTGTGTACATGTAGTTTCATTCAAAATAAAGTGTTACGTAACCTTTAGAAATCGCCCATCGCAACCATATGGCTGTGATTTGACATCACTACGAATTACATGCCTGTACCCAAACACTACATAAAAAACACCAAAACTAAAAGCCTCAGATATTGACTACCATATTCCCTAGTTTACAATTTGTTTGAGATGCAGTTTCAATTAGATGCATTATATCGACCTCAGGTTGTTCATACGGGAAACGTTTCGAAATGGCATTTATCGACTTCAGGTTGTTGATATTATAGTCAGTTGGCTTGGGGTCAAAATCATCTCCCATTTGCAATTTCGGGTGCATTATTTGAAAATTTCAGGAATTTTTAATGAAACACTATAAAACCCAAAACCATTTGATGCCATTTTTGTCTTTCACCAAAAAGTATATTCAGATATTGTTATTGAGCCGAAATGAAGACGTACAACTGAATATCAATTTTCCATGATCTTTTTGTGAGTGGGGCTTCCATTTGGGAAAAGGTGCCAAAAAGCTCCAAATGAGAGACATATATCGACCCTTTTTGCAGTACATGAAAAAAAATAGGAATTTAGAATTGTATGTTGAAATACAAATTTGGTCGGACAGACTTTCTTTTTTTATGGGGCGGGGACACATTTCATAATTCGGGGGGGGGGGCTTTGGGAGAAATGACAAAGATATTACGCCATAAATCCAAACTCTTGTCATTTTCTATCTGAATTTGGCCTGCGCAGTCTAAGCGATAATCAAATTTAGAAGCAAAATTCCTATTTGTTTTTCGCTTTTTTGCAAGAGGAAGTACAGTTTTTGATCAAAATAGGGAAAGATACAAAAGCGTAGAATTTTGTTCTTAAAATCAATTTAGCAGGTAGAATATTCTTTGAAGGAAATCCAGCACGAAGAAAAAAGATATATTTAAGGGAAAGAAAAAAAAACAAAATATGAGTATATTTTGATGTAACAATCAAAGGTGTAAATTTCAGTTGTTTAACCCTAACTCCCTAGGGGGTGTGCAAAATTATATTGAAATTGGAGGATTCAGGACTGTTAGGGCTATTGAATATATAGCAATTCGAGATACTGTTACAGATGTGTACATGTCCTGAAAAAATGGTGCATGTAAACCCCTCCAATTTTGCTAATGTACAGCCAAAATTTTCTGTGGATGTTTACACCATCTTCAAGGTAATAGATTTAGCTTGAGAGTACCGTTTGTTTCATTGAGTTTGCTTTTGTAAATCCAAAGATACGTTTGAATAACGGCAAAGCCAAGAAACCCATTTTGTACCACTTTCTTTGAAGCAGTTAAAATCAGTATAGTCCTAGTCTAAAACCAAATCACTTTACTGTTAGTGATTTTAACATTTTTAAGCAGAGTGTGCAATATTTTATTTATATTTAATTGAACTCTTTCATTGAAGTTTTAAAGACGTGAACCTGTCTGTACTATTAAATTGTTTCAACATAAGAACAAAACCCTACATTGTCTGTGAATGGAATGTTTGTCTTACACCCGTAGGGATAATCTTATCAAAAGAGCCATACTGGCATTGTCTGATCTTTGAAGCACTCGCCTCCTAAAAGTGGCACAGAATTTTAATTTTTTTTTTGGCTTTGCGGTTATTCAAACATATCTCTGGATTTACAAAAGCAATCTTAATTAAGCATACGGTATTCTCAAGCTAAATCTGTAACCTTGAAGATCGTGTAAACATTTGCAGTAAATTCCGGTTGTAAATTGGCGAAAATGGCGGGGTTTACATGCACCATTACTTTCAGGACACCCTGTAGTAGTATAAACTGTTGTTTCGCCGATATCAGACCAACAAAACGACATAAAGTTGGGCTTTAGGTGAAATCACTCTGTTCCTCCCACATTTCAAAATTGTAGTTTTACGCCCAAAAACAATAACAACCAGCAAAACCTTTATAGGAACATTGACGAGCTTTCCATATATGTTAATTTAATGTCTCCATCAATCAAAATAATTGGGTTAATAGATTGTTGTTCTTTTTACTCATTATGCCAGATGTGCCCCGTTTTAGGGAAAAACAATGGTGAAAGGGCCCCAAATTAAAAGGGGAAGAATAGGTTTTGATTTGACATGTAAGCATTCTCCCGATTGGTCATTTTCTCTTCTTTTTTTCTTTGCTTGTCCGAAATGCAAAATAATGGCATTACAACGAAGCAGTAATGGCAAAGTTAAAGCTTATATAATTTTTTTATGACGGTGGAACGGTTATCAACCAACCCCTTCCCTTCCCCCACCCCTTCCCCCACCCCTTCCCCCCCCTTCCCCCCCCCCTTCCCCACCCCTTCCCCCCCCCCCCCCCCACCCCAAAAAAAGACCGGACATTTCCAGCTTTTGGGGTCGGTCGGATGAGGGCAATAAAACAATTGTTTTTCCGTTTTGCCTAATTATTAGTGATGACGTGCTATTTGGAGTATTTAGAGCGGACGAAAATGACCAACATTGGCGGCCAGTCAAGCTCAACCTAGCGCCATAAATATGGCAAATTTTCTGGACTACCTCCGTAAATAAAGGCCACACTTGGAACATGTACAAAAACATGTAGAACTTTGTCAAATTTTGATTTTCACATTTAGGCTTAGTTTGTAGTTTATTTTTGCTTAAGAAGCATACTCAACCTCTTTATAGGCTAATCAGAAACTACTGCCTTTTTTCAGATGTCTATTTTTCGTGAAATTTCATGCTGAAAGTTTGATACGCAAACGTGTGCAAACGCATCTGGGAATTTTCAGATTCGTTTGCACACGTTTGCGTATCAAAATTTCAGCATGAAATTTCACGAAAAATAGACATCTGAAAAAGGCAGCACTTTCTGATTAGCCTATAAAGAGGGTGAGTATGCTTCTAAAGCTAAAATAAACTACAAACTAAGCCTAAATGTGAAAATCAAAATTTGACAAAATTCTACATATTCTGTACATGTTCCAAGTGTGGCCTTTATTTACGGAGGTAGTCCAGTAAATTGGCCACATTTATGGGGCTAAGCTCAACCAACGACACCATGTGCAAAGCAAAACCCGGCAAATACACAACTCGTATAAAATATCCGACTACGAAAATGATCTGGATCAGCCAAAAATTAAAACAGTGATAAACTAAGAATGAATTCAGATTTCAAACATGTCAAAAACTCACGATTTTGGACAGCGAAGTGGAAGCAAGCGCAATCCTCTGCAAACTGACCGTGGATCAAATATATTTGCATATTGAAAGCGCGCGTTAATAAACACGTACAATGTACTCTGTAAGGCCCAATCAGCTGACGTGAATAGCTCGGTAGATTGCATACCAACCATTGCAATCTTATCAGCTGTGAGGGCGTTGCTGCTTTCAATACTGTACCGAGATAGTCCAACAAGGCGTTGTGTACAGTATACAAGCAGAAGCAGAAATAATACTGTGTAGTCTGCTGTTACTGTTGCATTTTAACGGCCTCTACAGTCAAAAAGATGGTGCAAATAAATGTATGTCATTAAAGTAGACTTTATAAAACGGCTATATATTTTGTTCAAACATTTCAATTCATAATTAACTTATTTACATCCAACAAACCATAGGAAGGCTCGAATACCAGTGAGAGTTCGGCTCTCGATCATGAATATGTACGAGGTACAGTAAATTTTGTTGTTGAAAAGCTAATGAACTCTTCTCTCCAAATATGTATCGGTATTTGCGATGTTTTTTAAGCTGTGAAAACACGTACCAGTACAGTCGACCGGTGTAGCGTGAATATCCGACTCCATGAAATGTGGACTCATTGGTAGTACTGCGCACGCGTGAGTACGATACTATGCTATTCATAGGAGTCGAATTTTCATGTGACACCGGTACATCATACCCTTGTCGAAATTCGGACATTTGTACAGCATCATTATTTTCTTTCTATAGTATTTTGGAATATAGTCATATAGTATATTTTCTTTTCACTGTCATGTATTTAAAAAAAACCAAATGCCAATTTACACCATAAAGTTTGAAGAAATCCAAGCTGTATATTATAGTGGAGAAAACTGTTCGCAGTTATGTGCGTTGTTGTATTCGGCAGACAGGTTTACTTATCCTGGCCAAGGTGGCCGACGAGTTAGCGCATGCGCGACCAAAATATCCTCAAACATTTTCACAGGTTGTTTCTGCTTTCTCAAAGTGATTTATTCCCGATGAGCTGAAACTTCAGAAGGTTAGTTATAATGCAGCCTCTTTGCGATTTTGACACAAAAAAAGAACGCAGCAAATGCAAATGATAAACCTTACGTTACCACCTTTATTAATATGCTTCCTCATGCCCAATATATTAGATCCATCTAGTCTCAACTCCGATACATTGAAGGGATGAACAAATCGAACATTCTTGAATATAAAATTAAATAGGAAACGATTTGAAAAATACGAGTAAATATACGAGTATATTACGAACAATAATACAAACTTAAAACTGATCGTGCGTTCACCATAAAAATATTATGCACTTCTCTACGAATATATCTTTTTTACTTTTAAAATTCATTCTAAGTTACACAAAGTTAAAATTTATTCTAAATTACACAAGCCACGGTTTGGTATATAATTCTTAAGAGATAACAAGTCTCCATTAAACTGTTTGAATCTTGATAAAAAGTTCAATAAAAAAAAATGACAACTCCGCTGCACATTTTCCATGCGATTAAAACACGGTGACAACCGCGCGTCCCCGCATTCTTCAACAGCCAATATCTCCGTCTCGCTATTCCTGTACGCTAACCACGTTACCCAGTATATAAGCACATCCAAAACAAAGTTATAGAAACGTTGTATTAAGGCCAAAAAAAATCCGGTTTCTGGTATTGAGCTTGCCCAAAAAGTGGTGCGGCGACGCGGCTTTTTTTTTTTTTTTACCTGTTTTTTTTTGCTTCAAATGTCGGCTGATGACTGCAAATGGTGCCCGACTAAACTTAGTGCAAATAGATGGGAGTCCAGAGAGGCCACCTAAAGCTTATTCTCGACCATAACCCAATCTAAAAACACGTTAAAATTGTGCAGCAGCAGGATTCCAGTCAAACCAGTGAGTTTGGCGGTTTTGAGACATCATCTTTCATTGAACAAAAAACTTTTTTCATTTTGCCGACGCGCATGGCTACGGCGACGCGCGCGCATACCAGAAACCGGAGACTTTTTGGGGGGAGGGGGGGGGGGGCCTAATCTGAACATTACTCTATCTGAGCAAATATTACATGGTCACGATAATGTATGTTATCAGTCATCCAGCAGTAGTAGTGGATGATTTGAATCGAATACTGGAACTTACCGTTTCGCAACTGTGCGACGTTGCGTCCGAAACCATCGGACTTCGTCAGGCAACTGGTGACTCTCACGTGACCAGCCCACCGGGTCACCAGTTGCCTGACGAAGTCCGATGGTTTCGGACGCAACGTCGCACAGTTGCAAAAGTAAGTTCCAGTATTCGATTCAATTAAGAAATCATTACATGGTCATGTTCAAAGTTATTGCTTTCACAGAATAAATTTGAAGCACTAGTCTCACTGCACCCAATGTTTACATTCGTTGAGCTGTGATGAGGCTAAAATGTAATACATTTTGGAGGCAAAGTGATGAAGTGCTCCCCTAGACTTGCTACTAGTCGTCGCATCGTCAGAGGCCGTTTCCCCACATTATATTATCAAATTTCTAAATATTTCAGTCTTTTCACAAAAGGTCAATAAACGAAAAGAAAAACGCAATCTATGTTACCTTACAATTAATATGACTTTACCTATTAAATAGATTGGTGATAATTTCAACTTAAAAAAAATCTGATTATAATTCTTATATTTCAACTTTAAAAAAATCTGATTATAATTCTTATATTTCAATATTTGTGTAAACACACATTCACTTAACAGCTCGATGTGTTGACATTAATTTCTTATAACTGTATCTAATAATTTCAAGAAGACTTATTTTACCACCTGAAACTATATACATACTGAGCTACTAATCTACTTATAACATGAGAGTAATCTTTCTTAAATTTCATTTCACAAATGGATAGCCTACACCGACACTTGTGTCCTTAAGCAAGACACTTAACCGTTATTGCTTCATCCTTTGGATGGGACGTAAAGCCGTAGGTCCTGTGCATTGTGTAATGCACGTAAAAGAACCCAGTAAGACTTGTCGTTAGGAGAAGGGGTTTGCCCAGGTGTTGCTGGCAGTGCGTTCATCTTCAACCCCATGAAGGCAGCACTTGGAATGAAGGAAGGAAGGAAGGAAGGAAGGAAGGAAGGAAGGAAAGAATGTCCCGTGTTTATGTTTGAATCTACGATATGTTTAGATTTGTAGCTCAGTGTTTTAGGTAGAGTACAAAGGCCTCTTACTACCACCAAATATAAATCTTAAAAGAAAATAGAATGACTTGTGGAAAGAAAGCCTGAAACATATCGTACGTCCTACTTTTCTTTGTCTTTTGTATTCTGTTTGTTTTTTATAGACAAAATCCAAAATATATGAATTTGGCACAATTATATCTGATACTACTAACAGACTTTCGTCCTGTGTAAAAACTCTGAACATGTCTGAGAATAAACAAGTGGAAAAAAGTGGGTACAGAAAGTCTACGCATCATTTTTACATTGTGTACAGTGCCGCATTTTTGGAAACATAACTATGTTCACATTGTGTGGCGAGTCTACTAAGCTGATAGGTGCAAACTAAATGGTATTTCTATCATTTCTTTGTTTTCCAGAGGTGCTTCGTCCTGAAATGTTGCCAAGTTTAGGTTACGCTAACAATTATACTTTTATGATGTAAACTTCCTCACTGTGTTACTGGATTCGTAAAAATTATAACGGATATAATTTCAGCACAAATTGTTAATGTTCTAATCAATTGTACTGAAATTCACCATGAACAGTCGTCGAATTGATACTGATGTCACCTCAGGTGAAGCAACTAACAGCTGTGCAGAAGCTATAAAGAAGAAAAAAATGAAAGAAAAAAACCCCGTTATCTTTAAAAAGCAAAACAAGAAAATTAAGAATCTTAATCTTAATACTAATAATAATACTGTGAAGAGTTTAAATAGGAAACCAAGAAAGCCTTAAAAATTTGATTGATTTAATAAAACACCAATCATTTGTTTCTATTTTTTGTAGTATTTAAAAAATCGTTGCAGTGTTCACAACGAAAGCGTTGTGTTAAAATAAAAGTATCAACCTTGCGGAACGCTTTTCAAACTAGGGGGCATCACCAAAAAGGGGCACTTGCTTAATAGTAAAAGGTACCCAGCATTTTTTGTTTTTGGCACATCCGTGCTGAAATGTCGACATGTTTGTTTTTTTCACCAGACACTTGACCTCCGTAAAATCACATAGTGAGTGTGATTACTATAAACAAATTATTCGAAATTTTTGGACAAGTTTTGTTTTCATCTCAAGGGGGCACATTTACGCTCGAGAGGGAACATTAATGTCCACAAGAGGGGGTAAATTTGGGGAAGCAAGTGCCCCCCTGCCCCGCCGCCCCTGACCTTGCGGTTTTAACACAAACTAGAACGGCGAAGCCGCCATGGCTCGCTGCCGATGGGGATGGGCATGATGGAAGGGGATCAGGATTCTCGTTAATGTGCCAGGGTGTAGGGGTCAGTTTTTAAATGTCAACATAAAAAGTCAACAGATGACCTAATAAATACATGTGTATATAGGTTAGCCGTCACTGCGTTATGGGGAAGTAATTTCCATTGCTAGGGTAATTAGGACCCAATTGTGGAGCCTTTTTGCAGCCCCCACAGTGTCTTCTGGTCCCCATACTTGTATTACCATGGGAAAACTCTTGTGTAGTCCCCACAAATGCAGAACAAGAATGGGTATACATGTACATGTAGACACAGCACCATCACCACATGCCCCAAACCTTACCCCATCCCCGACCTCGCCCTCCCCCACCCCAACCCCCTACCCACACCCATCCCATCTTCCCCCTACCCATCCCCACCCCATCACCTACACATCCCAACTCAACCCAAACTCCAATCCTTATCTCCTTCCCCCTACCCTCCCCTGCCCCCAACTCCCTACACCCACTTACCCTATCCTCCCCTATCCCTCCTTACCCACCCCTACACATCCCCATCCTAACCCCTACTCAAATCCCTATATCCCGCCCACCCCATTCCCGCCTATATCCCGCCCACCCCATTTATACAAGCGTCAATTTAACGTCCAATTTATCTTCATGTGACAAAATGGAAAAAAATTAGACGTGGAGCCATCAAAAACGCAATTGAAGTGGGAATCAAAAAAAAAATTCCCACAAAAGGGCTAGCGAGACAATTGGATACCAGAAAGTCTTTGCAGAAAAGAAACCTTGTAAACTTATAATTGTTTAACAGGTCATTCTTAAAACAAAATACCACAAAAAATTGTTAAAGACTTTCACTAACCTTGTTGTTTTCAAGCTAATATCTATGGTATTGTCTCTCAGCGTATGGGTAACGTTCCATCTGGTCAAAGAACAGCAAGAATAACGTTTGTGAGAAAAACAAGCACAAATCGGTTCTGTACGACTCCAGATTGCCCAGAATGTACCATTGCTCCGTAAGTCACAATCAAAACACGTTAAAGGTTTCACACCAAATCCATCCACAAAAAGTAAATAAGGTTATTATATATTTTCCTGTGTTCCCTTGGACACCACCATGTAACTAAGTATACAGTGTACTTTATGAGATTATGCCGGTGAAGGGCAATACCTAATGTTGATGCTGCGTGGAAAATGCAGTATCGGCATATTTACCTGTTCCTGGGCTTCATTGCCGGTAGCCACATACGGTGCAAAGAGCCCCACCGGACGGCATGATGCTTGCTTCATCTAATGAATACAAAAATAAAACAGGGAAAGCTTTGTGTAGCTGGTCATGAAACACACATTACTAGCACGTTGTCATAAAAGTTGGTTCCTTGATCCTGTCTTAACTTATTCTTGAAACTGGGCTTGCGGTCACTGCCGAAGGAAGTTGAGTGTGATGAGGAGTAATAAATAACCGTCTGATATTTTGCATAGAAATTTTAGGATGCCAATTCTGCATACTGCATTACAATTCTATTAAAAATTGATTCAGAACAGCTATCCACTGGGAGTCTTTTCATACAACTAAAGAACTCAATGGGCGAGATTTTGCTCCTGATGGGGTAATTGTTTACAAGGGAGTATATCAAGGGGTGGGGTGGGGGTGGGGACAGGCAGGATCTAGGCCTATTCCCCACTTTTGGAAAAAGGGGGGGGGGATGAGCCATTGGATCATCCCCCTCTCCCCCCCCCAAAAAAAAAAGTGGTGATAGACCAAAAAATGCAGATTCTGAGGTTTTCTTTTAACTTTCCAACAGTGGAAATGCATAAATGTTTGTTTTTGTAATGGAGGACATACAGTACAAAAGCTTTAAATGCACCGTTTTGATGGAAGGTTATTTGACGTAAGCATGCACACTAGTTTGTGTAAGGTGTGCAATTGTATCTTTAAAAAGCGCCCCCTAGTAACATGCGGTTTTTATAGCCCCCCCCCCCCCCCCCCGGCACTCTCAAGAGCCCGATATGGAATCTTAGTGACATGTGGTTTCCAGCCCCCCCCCCCCTCTCCCCTCTAGAGTCGGATTACGGAATCTTACCGATCTCTGCGTCATTCTCGGATCGTATGCGTACGGATCAGTGTTCTCAATGGAGTCTTCACTCTGGTACATTTGCTGGTGGTGCCGACGCCTTTTGACTGCCACCAGGCAAAACCAGAAGCAACAACACAGGAGGAGGAGGACGACAAGGAAGATGCAGCCAAGAACGGCGAGAACGATTGTCAGACTTGAGTCAGGTGACGCTGTAGGCGGCGGCTGTTCGGTGCCAACTATACAGACAAAAAATGGAAGTGTTTTTAACAGTCGTGAGTGGATTCCGTTGCCAGCACTAGCAATTAAAAAGTTGCCATTTTTTACATTTCGAATAACATCAACATTTAGTTACTTGGCGTACATGACTCAAGGTCCAAATCAATGGTAATTCTCGCAGTATTTTACATAAAAGCATTACATTTAAAACGAATAATGAGCGTGCGGAAAAGAGCAGCATCACATGTTTGTTTTCTTTCGAACGATGTAATTTCAGGAGGGATCAATTTCACAGGGTAAAGTTGCAGCCTTTTCTTCACTCTGATCAGGGTTCATCTCAGTAAAACTGGAGGCTAATTTTTTTCCGGAATAATCAAACTGAGATTATTCATTTTTCTAGTCACCATAGATCTTTTAATCCTATTGCATGTATCAAATCAGATGAAACTTCAATATGTCCAGTTTCAAGTGTTTTCAACCTTGGGGTTGTATTTAATGCTCATCTTTCTATGATTATTCATATCAGTAATGTGTGTCGTGCTGCTTCATTTGCCCTTCATAAAATTGCTACCATTAGACAATATTTGGATAAAAAATCCACAGAACAATTGATTCACTCTTTGGTTATGTGTCGCATATATACATAACAGCTTACTGTATGGACTGCCTGATACTCAAATTAGTAAACTGCAACGTATACAAAACTCTGCAGCTAGACTTGTCACCAGGACTCGCACACCTGAATCGAACGGTGGGAGACACCGGTCATTAGGGAGACATTTTCATGTCTTCCTAATGTCACAGCCCCCCTCTAGAGGCACAATTTTACCGTCGCAATTAGTTTATTTTTGTTGCTCGTGGTCTAATTAGTAAACATACCGAAATTCGTGGAAAAAGGACAAGGGAATATTGGGTTAGGGCACATTTAAGTTTAAAACATTTTGTGCACAAGTCTATGGGAATGTCTCCCAAATGTCCAATCCACGGTAATTATTATTATTACTATTACTGATGCTCCTACTACGTGCCTTTAATAAGGCACAAGTATCAAAAATGCAATACAAAAGTGAAATGCGATGACACTCACAATCGAAAATGGTCTCGTTGCAACGTGCTCCAAAATATCCTGGCAGACACCTTCAAGAAAAAAAAATAATAATTAGGTTGATATGACTAATGCACATGACCTTATTTTCACAGAATTACCTAATTATATCAAAAGTTCTCATTATTTTATGATAAGTTTAAGCAAATTGGAACATGTGGTCAACAAATATAATCATATTTAAGTAGAATTTAAAATTGAAATGCCTTCAAATGTACCTTCTTTTCGTCATAAGTTATTGGGGGACAATGTAGATTAATGTCCCGCTAATGTCACAACTACTCTTTAGAGGCAAAATGTTAGTGTTGCAAATATGGGTTAGATCGATTGCTTGTGGCCCAAAACATGAATCCACCAAAATTTGTGGGGGTTGGATAAGGTAGAACCATAGAGCTATATTAAATTACTAGAGTGCTAAGTCCTCATTCATGCGCGCAGAGCAGAGTTGTAATGACTCGAGTCAATGACTCGACTCGAGTCCGACTCGAGTCACATTTTTTGGTGACTCGACTCGACTCGAGTCCCTAAGGGTAAATGACTTGACTCGACTCGAGTCACTGCGAGCAATTGACTCGACTCGACTCGAGTCCCTCATCAGAAGACTCGACTCGACTCGAGCGAAGGCTTATAAGACTCGAGTCCCAAAAATAAAAGCAAAACTTTGCGAAAAGTATTTGCAATGACTTACGATGCATAATTTATGCTCACTTCGCTTTGCGAATAGCAGTCATGTACAAATATACAACGTGTCACAAACTCCCACCTCATGGTTCTAGAACGCACAAAATACTATCCAGGAACCAGATTTTTAAACACATTTTCTAATTCGCTGTTTCATCACTGGCTTTGGTCGATTTCTTATAAAGCTCTTGGATTCGAACGCTGGCTAAACTTATGGCCTCCTTTTATAAAGTTTGGTATATAGTGTTCAAATATTCGTGACTCAAATTGACTCGAGCTAAATATTTGACTCGACTCGACTCGACCTTTTGACGTAATGACTCGACTCGACTCGAGTCACTTCTTTAAAATGACTCGACTCGACTCGAGTCACTTCTTTCAAATGACTCGACTCGACTTGAGTCACAAAAATCAGTGACTCATTACAACTCTGGCGCAGAGACACTTTGAAGCCGCTCTGGGCGCAGACATTTTGAATTCATGAGCTTGTTTGTAGAACACAATGAAATTAGATGGATTGAATTTGGTAAGTGTACTCTAAATGCAAAGCGCAAGTAGAACATATGCAAACAATGGTTCAAAAAACGTCACAACGGTTCAAAAAACGTCACGGCAAAAAAAAACATCTGCAGCAGATACGCACACCCTCAGGTACCTTCTCGGTAATAGTAACTTCAATACATACAGTGAATATATATGTACAATAATTGTGTTTTAATTTGGTTTTAATTAAAGTGACTTATCAATCGCTTTAGTCACATGACTATTCTTACCTGCATGTGCTGGCGTAGTTGCTCGCATCAGGAATGCAAGTGCCACCATTTAAGCAGAAGCCATTCCCGCAGACAACTGCAAAGGTTAACAAAAATGTACTGAATCAATGAAAGTTGACATAAGTAAGCCTCAAGGGTTTACATGGTGGACATGATCAATGAATGGGAGGTTTGCGGTAACACCATGTGAATGATATCTCTTAGTGAGTTGTGTGGTTCTGAGAAGAACCAGTTGGTTTAACTCGACGTTTCGAACATTATGCTCTGCTCATCATCAGTTGTCATAACAAGGTAAATCAATACTCCATCCAGTTTTGCAGAGCACTTAGAATTTCCGAGTTTACACTATTTTATAAGATGCAGAAATAAACTGCGTTTTTTTTTTTGTTCATGAGCTTCCCGTCCAACACAATTGGCAAGACTTGTAGTCCCGTCCATTTTAAACGTTGAACGTACAGTTAAGAGAAATTGATATACACGCATGTTCGCTTGCGAAAGTAGTTTGACCGTTTATCATTTTTATTGGAATAAACTCTTGTCCTTGTATGCAATTTTGGAACTTCTGGGTTGCATGACACGGAATCTAGGTGAGAGTTGAACGGATACGATTCTTGGTCAAAATTACAATTTTTTGTATTTAATGACAATTATATTAAAATTATTTAGTGTCGACATGACGTGACTCAAGGTCACATCTGACCTGGATTTGGGTCAAATCAGGGTCAAGTGCGTTACTCACTCTCAAGCGCCTTGATTGAACTTGGTGTGACCTTGTATATGGAAGCAGAGAGCAAATCGCCACGTGTGATAGAATCATTCAGTGCGTCTTCAACCATTGGCAGCGTTGCGTTTGTTCTGTTGTCAAACGTCACCACTATATTGAGACCAATGCTGCCACGGAAGAAGCTGTAGATACGGACCCGGATGAAGAGATACAGCTGGCGATACACTTCGGTCAGCTGAAACGCAAGTAGAAGGGCGGTAAGGAGGAAATGAATTACTAAGACTATCGGGGCCAAATGTCAAGGCTCTGTTATACCACGCTTATGGGTAAACCCATGTAAATAGGCCTGCCCAAAATCCATCTGCCGAGCTCATGAAAAAAAGTTATACACTCAAATTGTTCTATATTAGATTGTGCTTAGAGCTATGGAATATGGCAATATCCCTCTGGCCCGGACTTGGGGCTTCCAATTCAGAGCATTTTGGATGCAATCGGTCCCGAGAGTGGCGCTATTTAGCCATGTTGTGGAGGGATCCTTTTTTCAAGATGGATGCTTTCCCACTTTTGAAAACATCACTCGTTTAAGGGTGTTGTCTTCTTTGAGTGAATATTTCGCAAAAAGTCATCAGGCATCCCACCAAAAATTGGAAGGAAAATGAAGGGTGACATGTTGTTAATTATTTTTTCTGTGCAGCCTGAACACCTGTGAGAATTTTAAGTATGGGAAGTTATCACTGTTTCCTATGGGAATTCGTTATACTTCGATGCACCCTTATGATCACCTCTCTGCGCAAACAGTACCAGCAGAAGATTACCATGATAATCATTCAATCACATAATCCTATAGTTACAAGCCAAAAGGCCTTGCTTGCTAACCCATGAACTATGCCACATTTTGCGGCAAAAGTTAATTTATCCACACAATTGTATTATATTTCCAAAGTCTACAATCCATTTTTGCTTGAATATTAAAGACATGCAAAATACAAAAATACCATGTGTCAATGGATTCATCAAGTGTCTAACATCACAAAAAAGAAAAACATACAAACTCTGAACTCAATTTTTTCCAAAGGCCGATTTTTGAGTTAGGTTGTTTTGCCATCCAATGGTAGAAAGTAATTCAAATTTGTGACCCGCTCCGCAAAAATGAGTCTGTTGTGGCAAAACTGACATTTTGAGTTAACTACATTGATAAAATGGGAATGAAATAAGCTTTCATTTGGTATATCACGGACCTCTCTAGGACATTTGGTAGCATTGTTGTGCTTGTTTCATTCTGTAAAGTTTTTGCAACGCTAGAAGTGTCTCAATGGAGAAAAAAGGCTTTGAAAAATGACAAATACACTGTAACTAACCAAGAAAAGCACCAAAGATTCATAATTTTTTTTTGTTTTTCTTACAATATTTACATTTCTGTGTAAGATATTTGAACTAAAACTATCAAACAACCAAAATACAACAAAAACAAAAAAATCCAAATTTTGAGCAAATTTTTACTGTTTCCATTTCAAAATGGCAAAAGCTTGAATTCAAATTATGCGACATCAGACTCATTTTTGCAGAGCGGGTCACATTTGTCCACGTACTCCGGACCACTATATGTGATGCAATCAAGCTAAATGAGTCGATCGTCGGGAATTTTTATTTGGAGATACAGGCCAAAATAGGGCCACTTCATCACATCGCTTCATCACATCTCTTGGTGTTCCAACTTTCATAAATTTTAAACTAAAGATGGTATCAGCATGCGGTTTTCACAGCAGAAATGCTGAGATTGTGCTCTTTTGAAATCTGTAATAAAAAAAAATTGACCAGGGTTGACAAACAACTCGTGTAGTTTGATTGAATCACATATGCCATGGTCCGGCCAGCCAACAGAACAGCTTTAAAATACAATGAACATACAATTCTTTCAAGATCTGCCTGCATATTCTTGAAGGTGTCCGTCGTTGGGTCCAGTAATTCATCAGGAAACGTTGCCGGTATGACGAGGTTCGGATACACGAACTCAACAATTACGATCGTGGTCCTGAATTCTATCGCACCTTTTGAGTGAAAAATAAGGGTATAAACTGAATGTAAATATAAACCCTTTTAGCAACAATCAGTTACGGTGTCCATTCTTTCTGTTTTCACGACAAAGTCTATTTAAAGCCGTTATTAAAACTGAAGGCAACAAAAAAGTCTACTTTTGTCTTTCGCATCCGCATACAAGTTCGGCTTCGTACATTTTCAACTACAGTATCCAATTTTTACCAAGTTGGTTTCACGAAATAGGCTCACCTATGCATGTACTGGTGTTTTCGAGCCGTCTGGATCCGTACGGGCAGTCACATGTGTACTTTCCAACGATGAAAATACAGTTCAGGTCCCCCGGGCAGGTCGAATTACCAGGATCGCATTCGTCTAAATCAAGTTACAAAAAAAAATGTGATCATGATCTCCTTCTTTGGATCTGGAAAGAGGTTTTGTTTCAGGCCCGGGGTATCACGGCTGTCAAATGGGGCCAAATACGACATGGCCGTCCACTTGTCGGGCAACATTTTAATCTCATTTAACTATTCAAATTAAATACATGTATACACTTCTTGACGACTTAACTGGCCCACATTTTAGATCCATGCCTTGTCTGCATGTTTAGATTTCCAGGATTTTTTGGCAATGACCAAACACTTTTGGGGGTGAAATAAAATTTGTTTTGGCTGAGAAAGGTCCATTAAAAGAGAGACTGCCAGTGCAGCGTGAATATCCGACTCCATGAAATATGGACTCATCGGTAGAATTGCCCATGCGAAAGTATGATAAGATGCTTTGTTATCGTTATGGGAGAGTGACCTGTCACGTGCAAGGGAGTAACCAATAATAGGGAAAAGGAGTCCGATTTTCATAGGATTCGGATTTTCATATGACACCAGTATAAATAAGAGAATTTTGTTTTCATGAATCGAAAAGGGAAACTGACTAGGTGCATTATTATTATTATTTATTCGGCATTAAAAACACAAACAACAAACATTCACAAAATAAGAGAAAACCAAGAAAACAAAAACGAACATGACGAAAGCCAGGGGCATGAAAGTTAAACAAAGAATCTGACTGGAGCGAGTTTTGAACCTGCAACCACTGGATTACCGTTCCGGTGCCCTACCAACTATGCCCTATGTTGGCGGTTCCCCATTTTTGTCTTCATTCAAGTGGCGCTAGTCAGAAGCCATTCACCTGTACTTTTAAAGAGTCTTTTTCTAGTATAACACGATACACCCACCTGTTACATAAACGACAAACTGAACGGTCGCAGTATTGCCAGAAGCATCTGTCGCCGTGTAAATGACCGTTGTTGCGCCAAGACGGAAGGTGTCCCCGGGAGAGTGGCTTCCACTTATAGTGTAATTCCCGCTATTATCGGAAGCAGTGGGAGGATTCCAATAGGCTCCGCCCTTCAGGGAAATGGTGATATCTCCAGGACTTGACAGAAATATCGGCACTTCATTATCTGCAATCAGTACAATTCGAAGATTTTCTGTTAGGTTTTTGTTTTAATTTTGTTATAGAAAACGCTTCTTTTGTGATATTTCACCACAGTTCCTTCCTACCTGCACAAGACTACAACGCAGAGCCGGAAGGGACTATTATTCTGCGGTTATGTCCCCCAAAAAGCGTTCGTCTGAATGTTTTTAAAATAACTACAAAACCATGAAGCCAATTTTGAAAATTTTTGGTTTTGCAGATATTCCTAAGGCTTGGCCTCAACCCCTATGATTTTCATTTAATTTCAGTCACGCATCAATGCACATTACTGTCAATGACAATCACAACATTTTTGGACACTGTGACTAAGTTCCATGCCTTAAGCCATATCAGTGCTGTGTTATGTAAGCTGTGAAACATCCTGCATGTTGTGAAAGAAAAAGGCAGATGTGGTTTGGGATTGGAATCATTTGCCCTTGAGCATTAAACTGATGTCTTGCCATAATGACTGATAGCCACGCAAATGATTCCAACCCCAACTGCAGCCATTTTCACAAGGTGAAGGATTTTACACAGCTAACTTAACACAGTACTGAAATTGAATAAGGCAAGGAACTTGGTCACAGGGTCCAAAAATGTTGTTTTGATCAATTGACAATTGTGTAGTGATGCGTGACATGAAATGAAACTCATAGGGGCTGAGGCCAAGGTTTAGGAGTAACTGCACAACCAAATATTTTCAAAATTGACCTCATGGACACTTTTTTGGGACATACTGTATTGTTATACTGTGGTTTAAAATAAAGTGAAATGGGCCTTATTCACGAATCGGCCATATTGGATTGAGAGTGAGTTAAAATCTTCATTTTTGGAACTTGTGTAGAGAAATGAAAGAAAGTTGATTACTAATTACTTCCAGTCTGCTCAAATGAATAATTTTAAATTTGTAATTAAATGTTCCCTAATGTTTAAAGCCAGATTAAACAAAAATTACAGTTTAAAAAGGCTACATAATGCCTGCACAAATAGTCTGGCGCCATCCCATTCAACAGTTAAGAATTAATGATACATCTTCAGGGAACTCAACTAAAATGGCCAACTCGTGAAAAAGGCCTATTACATTGGATGAGGACGGTATGTGCATCTGACGTATTACAGGATTTCGTGTATTATGGCTAGATAGAGTGTGTGGAGTACACGATCCTTCGCAATATGGCCGCAGCTTTACAGAAAGGCATTCGGGACAAAGACCAAAAGAATTTTGATGTAGGATCTTATTCGACCAATTAATACATTCACATGTAATCGTCAATAACTCGATTCAAGTATCCTACCTCAACATAAATACAGCTCTTTCTGTCAACCACAATTTTCTGCATAAACACAGCTCTTTCTGTCGACCACAACTTTTCTAAGCCGTCCTTTCTGGACGCGCTTATTCCCCATCCCCAAGAATCTTTGACAAGACATTGCTGCTCATAAAATCAGACATTATGGACAGTAATTCCCACCGAGTTTGACAAACAGTTAACAGTGAGGAGGGCTTTAACCGTACCTATTATGTGGACAACAAACTCAACGCTTGCGGTGTTCCCCCCGCCGTCTGTTGCCGTGTACGTCACCGTGGTGGGTCCCAGATCAAATGTCTCGCCTGGTCGGTGAGACGGCGTCAATGTGAAGTTGCCACTGTTGTCAGCAACTGTTGGAACTGTCCAAGTTGCTGTGCCGAAGGCTTTGCCAGGATCGGTCCCTAAGTAAATTGATCCAGGTGTCTCCAGGAAAGTGGGTGCTTGATTGTCTGGTAAAAAAAATTTGTAAGGATATATTGAGGAATGTTTTTATGGGGAGCTGTGGTCCATTTATAGTTACGATGTTCAACTCACGTGCCGTGGCACGTGGGTTCGAACCCTGATGGGGAACAAGATACTTGTGTTTTTGGGCAAGACACTTGACTACGATTACCTCTCTCCATCCAGGAGTATAAATGGTTACCTGTGAAGGTAGAGACCAAATTATGCTGATCTAACTGGGATCAATGAAAAATGTTGATAACTGACAAATTTTATGCGGTACCCGCTGCTATGTACATCAGATTCGAACCAGCCAACCGATCCCGTTAGCTCGGTGGTCGAGTGGTAAGACATCTGCACTAGAAAGCAGCAGGTCGTGAGTTCGAATCCCACCCGAGTGATTTTTTCCAACTTTAACTCGGGAGGTAATACACTGAGTATCCAGTGTTTAAACGTCAATGAAGGGCAAAACCTAATTTGATTTACATTACCCCGACGCAAAATTCCATCTTATAATAACTGACAAATGTTCAATAAAAAAGAAAAGCAAAATGGACACAAGCACTCAATCAGTTTCAACTTCAAATGAACGCTTTTAAATAAAGCACTTGGGCACTTTATTTTAAATAAAACACTTACCAGATACAACAACATCAAACTGTAACATTGCAGTATTGCCAGCTTTGTCTGTGACGCCGCAAGTCACCGTCGTTGTTCCGATATCAAAAGTGTCGCCTGGCTGATGTGAACACGTCAGAGTAAAGTTGCCGCTGTTGTCACTCGCTGTTGGCAAGTCCCAATTTGGTGTGCCGAACGATTGACCAGCGTCTGTCGTTATGTTGATGTTTTCAGGGATACTCAAAAATATTGGGTTTTCATCATCTTTAAAGAAACAAAAACTATGTATTAAGATAATTTACATTAATTCCTTTAAAGCTACAGTCCATCATTTGCAGCTAAAAGTAACTGACGTAATTGTTGTTGAAAAACGTACTTGATAGAACTAAACTCCCTGTGAAATTAATCTTTCTGGCATGCTATACGTCGTTTCAAAGAAATCAACGAAAGAAGGCCTTTCCAAAGGTGCGTCTAGAGACGCACATAATAATGACGCACCATTGGAAATTTCCATTAGTAGTTCGCTTTTTTATTCCGCGAAGCGCGCGCAAGCATTGACACGACGCCCACCGCACGCGGTTGCTATTATTCGTCGGATCAGCGTGCGACATCACGTAGCTGCAGTGATGTAGGCTCAGTGATAACGTGTCTCGGTCACTGAATTTAGGCCCAATTCAAAACACGATTCAAGCAACTTTTGATTTGAAATCGAGATCCTAGAATGTTGTTTTTCTCGAAATGTACAGCTGAAGCTGAGCTTAAACTTCATCAGGTAGTTCTTCAGCACCCTTCTTGAGATTTTGAGGACTTTTGTTGCTTCAAACGAACAAAATGCACAAATTACAAATGATGGACTATATATATCTTTAATGCTGTCCGTCAAAATATATTCTGAAAACATTCCATTCAGTGTTTGAAATGCTTCATAAACATTTCTTCTGGTCTTGAAGCTTACCAATTACAGTGATGTTGAACTTTACAGTTGCAGTGTTGCCAACCTCATCCGTAACGGCGCAAGTCACCGTCGTTGTTCCGATATCAAAAGTGTCACCTGGCTGGTGAGAACACGTCAAGGTAAAGTTACCACTGTTGTCGCTCGCTGTTGGTAAGTCCCAATTTGGAGTGCCGAAAGATTGACCGTCGTCTGTCGTTATGTTGATGTTATCGAGGACACCGAGGAATATGGGCTTTTCCTCATCTTTAAAAGAAAAAGAAATTAGAAACGCCGTTTTATATAGTTCACTTAAGTCATCGAAAGTAATGAATATGATAAAAATTCATTAATTAACCCTCTTGCTGTCTGAACAGTCACAGACAGTCAAAAATCAATCCCCTTCCCCTGCGCCTTTTACACAGGCATGCAACTGGGAAATCACAAAAAAAGAGGAAATTCAAATTTTTCCCAGACTGTGTACAGTGTTTTTTTAATTTTCAATGGCACACATGGGAAGTAAAAAAAAAGAGGAAATCAGCTGATCCGAGGAAAAGTTGCATGCCTGTTTACACAGACTACTTACCAATGCGGTCAAACAAAAGCAGGCAAGTGGTAAGCACAGCTAGCTTATCAATCATCTACAGTCAAAGCATAGCTGTATCAAAGTACATAAACAGTCACAGCCAGTCCATCCTGCTTAATGTAGGCTGGGAGCTCTTAACTGTTAGAAACAGTCACTTGACTGATTTTAATTGACTGAAAGAACAAGTTTGCACGGAGTGTATGTTGGCATAGGAGGGTTTTAAAAATTTAAAATGCTTTCCAAATTTTGATGCATCTTGAAACTAACCGATGACAGTGACATAAAACTTGACGGTTGCAGTGTTGCCAGCCTCATCAGTAATTGTACAAGTCACCATTGTGGTTTCAATACCAAAAGTGTCGCCCGGCTGGCGAGAACACGTCAGCGTAAAGTTACCGCTGTTGCCGCTAACTGTTGGGAAATCCCAAGTTGGTGTACCGAAAGATTCACCGTCGTCTGTCGTGATAGTGATGTCATGAGGAACACTCACAAATATCGGCATTTCGTCATCTTGAATGAAACCAAAACAAAATTCATGTTGATGCTTTACAATCCTTTATGGAAGTGGCCTAAACGAAAGGAAATAAACGTCGACTACAGTATTTAAATGCTTTCTAATTTCAGTTTGTCGTACAGCTTAATAGTTACAGTCACATCAAAGTCTACAGTTGCGGTGTTGCCAGCTTCGTCCGTGACGGTGTTATGATGATGTAATTTATGATTTGATTTAATTTAATTACTTCCATTTCATGGTGTTTTTGGACAGGACTTCTAAAAACATTCTAATTAACGTTTGAAATTCTTCATGAAATTTTGTTGAGTCTAGAAGCTTACCAATGACAATGATGTTAAATGTTACAGTTGCAGTGTTGCCAGCTTCGTCCGTGACGGTGCAAGTCACCGTCGTTGTTCCAATGTCAAAATTGTCGCCTGGCTGGTGAGAACACCTCAAGGTAAAGTTACCGCTGTTGTCGCTCGCTGTTGGCAAGTCCCAGTTTGGTGTGCCGAATGACTGACCGTCGTCTGTGGTGATGTTGATGTTTTCAGGGACACTCAGAAATATTGGCATTTCGTCATCTGTAGTGAAATAAAAATTCAGTATTACGGTACTTAAATTCTTCTAAAGTGTTTAAATGACCTCCAAAAAGGATCTATTGAGTATTTGAAATGTGTTTTATTATTCATGTCGTTTAGAAGCTTACCAATGACAATGACGTTGAACCTTACAGTTGCAGTGTTGCCAGCTTGGTCTGTGACGGTGCAAGTCACCGTCGTTGTTCCAATATCAAAAGTGTCGCCTGGTTGGTGTGAACATGTCAGAGTAAAGTTGCCGCTGTTGTCACTCGCTGTTGGCAAGTCCCAATTTGGTGTGCCGAACGATTGACCAGCGTCTGTGGTTATGTTGATGTTTTCAGGGACACTCAGAAATATTGGCATTTCGTCATCTTAAAAAAAAAATTAAGATGGTTTAATTGATGATTTGATTTAAGTTAATATCTTCCCTTTCATAGTGGTTTTCGAAAGCCCGTCTGAAAACATTAAAATGAATGTTTGAAATTCTTCCTGAAAATTTTGTTTTGTCTAGAAGCTTACCAATGACAATGATGTTAAATGTTACAGTTGCAGTGTTGCCAGCCTCGTCCGTGACGGTGCAAGTCACCGTCGTTGTTCGAATAACAAAAGCGTCGCCTGGCTGGTGTGAACACGTCAGAGTAAAGTTGCCGCTGTTGTCACTCGCTGTTGGTAAGTCCCAGTTTGGTGTGCCAAATGATTGACCGTCGTCTGTGGTTATGTTGATGTTTTCAGGGACACTCAGAAATATTGGCATTTCGTCATCTGTAGTGAAATAAAAATTCAGTATTATGGTGCCCCAATTCTTCTAAAGTCTTTAAATGACCTCCAAAAACAATCCATTGAGTATTTAAAGGGAATGTACAACATTTGCTTTTGTTGCAATTTTCAGAAATAAATGGATTTGGAGGATAAGTATGTTATGGCAAATATTGTTACACTGACTTGTTTCACGTTTTGGGTTTGTAGATGCTGGAAAAACCAAGAAAACCAATCATATTCTTATAGTCGGGTTCCCTGACGTCACTTAAGATGAACCGGAGTAATTTATAGACTTTGGGGAATTGTAAGATCATGAGAATCAGTCTAGCAGGCTTGTAGTCTTCACAGGAGAGTAATCAATTGCGAAGAAAACGCAGATGAACTAAATATGAAAAATTAGGAGCACTTTTTGAAATATAAACCAGTTTTCTCCAACGCTGGTCGGCTGACCAACGTTGGAAAAATACACTTTTTCTAGAAAATGTCAGCACACCAGGAGCCGCAACTTTAAATATGCTTTAGGCTGTCATTCTCAAACAATCCAGTGAGACATTTCGTGATATTTTCATCATTTCGTTTTTGATATTTGCAAATGTTGTATATTCCCTTTAAAATGCGTTTTATTATTCATGTCGTCTAGAAGCTTACCAATGACAGTGACGTTAAACTTTACAGTTGCAGTGTTGCCAGCTTGGTCTGTGACGGTGCAAGTCACCGTCGTTGTTCCAATATCAAAAGTGTCGCCTGGTTGGTGTGAACATGTCAGAGTAAAGTTGCCGCTGTTGTCACTCGCTGTTGGCAAGTCCCAATTTGGTGTGCCAAACGATTGACCAGCGTCAGTCGTTATGTTGATGTCTTCAGGGACACTCAGAAATATTGGAATTTCGTCATCTTGAAAGAAACAAAGTTTGATTATTATGATACATAACTTCCTCTTGTGGTTAATGGTGTTTTTTTAAAGGAATAGTAAAAATATGAAGTTTTGGAAAAGCTTTATTCATTTCCTTTAGTCCAGAAACTTACCAAACACAGTGACGTTAAATGTTACAGTTGCAGTGTTGCCAGCTTCGTCCACAATGGTACAAGTCACCGTCGTTGTTCCAATGTCAAAAGTGTCCCCTGGCTGGTGAGAACACATTAATGTGAAGTTTCTGCTGTTGTCACTTGCTGTTGGCAAGTCCCAGTTTGGTGTGCCGTACGATTGACCAGCGTTTGTGGTTATGTTGATGTTTTCAGGGACACTCAGAAATATTGGCATTTCATCATCTGTAGTAAAATAAAAATTCAGTATTACGGTATTTAAATTATTTTAAATTTTTAAAATGATCTCCAAAAACAATCCACTGAGTATTTGAAATGCGTTTTATTATTCATGTCGACTAGAAGCTTACCAATGACAGTGACGTTAATTTTTACAGTTGCAGTGTTACCAGCTTCGTCCGTGACGGTGCAAGTCACCATCGTTGTTCCAATATCAAAAGTGTCGCCTGGCTGGTGTGAACACGTCAGAGTAGAGTTTCCGCTGTTGTCACTCGCTGTTGGCAAGTCCCAATTTGGTGTGCCAAATGATTGACCAGCGTCTGTCGTTACGTTGATGTTTTCAGGGACACTCAGAAATATGGGCTTTTCGTCATCTTCAAAAAAATATTAAGATGATTTAATTGATGATTTGATTGAACTTAATTACTTCCCTTTCATAGTGGTTTTGGAAAGCACGTCTGAAAACATTAAATAAATGTTTGAAATTCTTCCTGAAAATTTCGTTTTGTCTAGAAGCTTACCAATGACAGTGACGTTAAACTTTACGGTTGCAGTATTGCCAGCTTGGTCTGTGACGGTACAAGTCACCGTCGTTGTTCCAAAATCAAAAGTGTCACCTGGCTGGTGTGAACATGTCAGAGTAAAGTTGCCGCTGTTGTCACTCGCTGTTGGCAAGTCCCAATTTGGTGTGCCAAACGATTGACCAGCGTCAGTCGTTATGTTGATGTCTTCAGGGACACTCAGAAATATTGGAATTTCGTCATCTTTAAAGAAACAAAGTGTGATTATTATGATACATAACTTCCTCTTGTGGTTAATGGTGTTTTTTAAAAGGAATAGTAAAAATATGAAGTTTTGGAAAAGCTTTATTCATTTCCTTTAGTCCAGAAACTTACCAAAGACAGTGACGTTACATGTTACAGTTGCAGTGTTGCCAGCTTCGTCCACAACGGTACAAGTCACCGTTGTTGTTCCAATGTCAAAAGTGTCCCCTGGCTGGTGAGAACACATTAAGGTAAAGTTACCGCTGTTGTCACTCGCTGTTGGCAAGTCCCAGTTTGGTGTGCCGAACGATTGACCAGTGTCTGTCGTTACGTTGATGTTTTCAGGGACACTCAGAAATATTGGCAGTTCATCATCTGTAGTGAAATAAAAATTCAGTATAAGGTGCTTAAATTCTTCTAAAGTGTGTAAATGACCTCGGTATTTAAAACGCGTTTTATTATTCATGTCGGCTAGAAGCTTACCGATGACAGTGACGCTAAAGTTTACGGTTGCAGTATTGCCAGCTTGGTCTGTGTCTAAAGTGTGTAAATGACCTCGGTATTTAAAACGCGTTTTATTATTCATGTCGACTAGAAGCTTACCGATGACAGTGACGCTAAAGTTTACGGTTGCAGTATTGCCAGCTTGGTCTGTGACGGTACAAGTCACCGTCGTTGTTTCAATATCAAAAGTGTCACCTGGCTGGTGTGAACATATCAGAGTAAAGTTGCCGCTGTTGTCACTCGCTGTTGGCAAGTCCCAATTTGGTGTGCCAAATGATTGACCAGCGTCAGTCGTTATGTTGATGTCTTCAGGGACACTCAGAAATATTGGAATTTCGTCATCTTTAAAGAAACAAAGTTTGATTATTATGATACATAACCTCCTCTTGTGGTTAATGGTGTTTTTTTAAAGAAATAGTAAAAATATGAAGTTTTGGAAAAGCTTTATTCATTTCCTTTAGTCCGGAAACTTACCAAAGACAGTAACGTTAAATGTTACAGTAGCAGTGTTGCCAGCTTCGTCCACAATGGTGCAAGTCACCGTCGTTGTTCCAATGTCAAAATTGTCGCCTGGCTGGTGAGAACACGTTACAGTAAAATTTCCGCTGTTGTCACTTGCTGTTGGTAAGTCCCAATTTGGTGTACCAAACGACTGACCAGCGTCTGTCGTTATGTTGATGTTTTCAGGAATACTCAGAAATATTGGCAATTCATCATCTGTAGTGAAATAAAAATTCAGTATTGCGGTATTTAAATTCTTCTAAAGTGTTGAAATGACCTCCAAAAACAATCCATTGGGAATTTGAAATGCGTTGTATTATTCATGTCGTCTAGAAGCTTACCGATGACAGTGACGCTAAAGTTTACGGTTGCAGTGTTGCCAGCTTGGTCTGTGACAGTACAAGTCACCGTCGTTGTTCCAATGTCAAAAGTGTCGCCTGGCTGGTCAGAACACGTTAAGGTGAAGTTTCCGCTGTTGTCACTCGCTGTTGGCAAGTCCCAATTTGATGTGCCAAACGATTGACCAGCATCTGTCGTTATGTTGATGTCGTCAGGGACACTCAGAAATATTGGCATTTCGTCATCTAGGAAAAACAGCAACACAATATCTGAAATGATGTATATCTTTTATGAGTGTTTAACTCAGATTCTTTTTGAGGACAATCCTTAAAATACATAGGAGTGAAGTTTGAGAAAAGTCTCTGTGCTTCCAATAGGGCTGCACCATCATTAGATCTTCAACCCAATTACTGCACAGCTTTTTACTGAATTCCAAATGTTAAAAAAATATGCGAGGTTTTGAGATGATGAAAAATGTCCTCAATGTTCATTATGTGGAACGTTTGGCTTGAGTGCGCAAGTTTGCATATTTAGATTTACAGTTGTATAATGAACAGTGCTCCCTAGTGTCATGTTGTAGGATATTGGTCATCGCCCCATCCCCCATGGCCACTCACGGACACAGAATTACGCCACTGTCTACACACTTCCCTCAATGACAGGATAGGAAGGGAAACAACAACAATCAGACTTACCAACCACTTCAATAGTAAATCTGCAAACGTTTAAATTGGAGTCACTGTCGACTACGCTGCAGGTGACAGTCGTTATGCCTACATCAAAGGTGCCACCTGACATCACGTTATTGCCGTCTGCATCAACACAGGTTATATTGTCAGCAGTTAAGGTGTCGACATCATCAGCAGCTGATGGTGCAGGCGACCACAAAACGACGGCACTAGATACTCCCAAGTCTGTACCCAAGTTCGAAACTGGGAAAGGACAGGTGATGTTTGGGGCGCCTTCAGCTGATTCCAAAGAGAGAGGGAATAGATACGCCAAACATTCAGAAATCACCTTTTGAGTGCCATCTTAATAATAATAATAATAACAAACATTTATAGAGCGCTCTTACACATAAAGTATCACAGCGCTTAACAGCAAAGTAAGTTACAGAAACGTAGACTCAAAATTAGTGAAAACAGCGAAAGCAGTTCAATGATTGAACAGAAAAGTCTTGAGACAGTTCTTGAACCCTTGAAGTGTTTGTGCTCAAGTTGTTATTTATTGTGCGTATTGTGCATGTTGTCCCTCCTTTCTTAAATAGTTCTGTCTCTCTGGTTATGTGGTGTTTGTTTACGTATAATTTTAATGTATTGCCTGCCTAGTATTTTACTCATTTTTTGTATTAAGCAAGTTTTAATTGTTTGTAGAATTAATTGTTTATAATGTAATTTTCCTTTGGAATTTGGCCCCCGGGCCACAATCTGAGACAAATAAAAGAAATGAAATGAAATGAAATGAGTAGATTCCTAGAAATTGATATAAATACATAGATTTGGGGAAGTTTACGTACGATTTCTTCCAGACTTGAAGGTCAGCTATACCAGTAACCAGTGTTGATGTTTCAGCATTAATGACGGCAATTTTTTTTCACCGACATGAAGTTTAGAATTTCTTTTTCGGTCATCATTTAACATTTCAATCATACTGAGAATATTTTCTGAGAAACCCAACATTTAAAAGGCCATTTATTTGTGGTGCATGAATTTCACTGCTCTGCTGTAGCGTCTAAGTATGTAATCGGATTAGCTTTCCCTAATAACGACAGACGCTTTGCCTTAGCAACCATATGACTGTACAACCCTGTTCAAAATCATCCATCACATCATCACAATCAATTCTAGTCTCATCCTGAAGCCAAAACCTAGGGGGTCAAGGAAAGGCAACAACAAACAATTTGAGAGGATCCACATCAACACTGAAACACTCGTTTTGCCCGAGACCCATCGATCTATGGAACCATCTTCATCAGGCTGTTGCTGACTCGTCCTCACCAACAGTTTTCGGTATTGGGATAACCACTCAAAATCAAATTAGTTGCCATTCTCCTGAAATCTTCCTTGTTAATATCCCCGGCGGAGAATTCGGGAGGAATTATCACCAAGCACAAAGTGGGATTGACGCTACACTGTAAACAAAGCAAGCACACAAAGTAAATTGATAATGCTTAAGAGTCATTTCGTGTAAATACTTCATATAAGTGTCCACGCTCAAAAAATATACTTTGTGGGATGAAAGGACTTTGGGAGCAAGTAACCAAATTAACGGGCCATTATGTGTTTTGGCCATTTTGGGGCAATTTTGAGGCTGCAAAAATTCATTTTTTGTGTTATTTTCAAAGGTCATCAAGCCAAACTGCGAAGTAATGTCACAAAAGTAACTATATCACGACAAAGGGTGATCTGGACACACACATGTATACTGTACACATTTTTTATATTGCAAGTTACTGAATTTGATGGCAAGGGAAGGGGCGGGGCCTAGCTGGGAGGGGAGAACTAGACATCATTTTTTTTTCTAATGAATGCACTTCAATTAGAGGACAATGGATATGGCCATTATTATTAATTGCGGCTTGCAAACACATGAGTTTTGTCCATGTGACAATGATTTTACCGACAAAGCCAAGTTATTAGTGGTTGGCCACACCCCACCCTAAACCCCAAGCAATGCCCCCAGGGTGGGGAAGGAGAGGCTGTGAAAAGGAAGTCTATGCTATTTCTAAAGTATTCCCTAGCATATTATTTATTTACATTTGTTTCATTATGCAACATACAAGTTCAAAATTCGGTGGCGCAGGGGAGTGGGCGGGGCCTAACAAGGTGTGTGTGGGGGGATTACACGACCTACTATTCAGCCACTGGTCTAAACATGATACACAGTCTGATTTTGTTTGTGAAAATGTGCTAGATTCATGAACAATACCAATTATACAAGTTATTTCTCAAAACAAAGGAAAACACTGAAAATACACTTTTTAAGGTTTTTGTGAAATTTACCATAATTTGGAGCGATACTGCACAAAGGATAAAAAATAACCCAAGATTTTCTCACCAGATATGTAAAGACCAATGTCTGAACTAACCATAACCGAAGGATGGGAAATTTTTCTGAGTGCCCTGGCAAGTGCCATTTTGGAGGGATAAAAAGGGGTAAAAAATGAAACTTTGCTAGTTGTAAAAACATTATGTATTATAGGGCCTAAAATAATATAAAGGGGATTTTTCAGAAGTGTTTCTATTTTTTTCTTGTAAGGGTAAGGATGATACTTTGTCGTGATATAGTTACTTTTGTGACAAAACCTGGCAGTTTGGCTTGATGAGCTTTGAATATAACGCAAACAAATAAATTTTTGCAGCATTAAAATTGCTCAAAAATGGCTAAAACACATAATGGCCCGTAACCATGGCAACGGGCAAAATAAAAGTTTAAAAAGTCTTTTTTGGTTACTTACTCCCTAAGTCCTTTCATCCCACAAAGTATAAAAAGATTCGATTTTTGAGCGTGGACAGTTATATGAAGTATTTACACGAAATACCATGCAGCAATTAAGGTGGGGCATATATTTGACTTCATTATTCTGACTGTAGGGAAACCAAGTGCGCCCTCCGTTTCAGTACCTCAAAGGTTTGCAAGTGATTTGCATGTTTTTATTAAACACTTTGATTTGCATGTTGTGACCTTTGTGCTTCCAGCGCAATGGTAACTATAATCACTGCGTTGAGTCAATTAAATACTACTCAGTTCCATTAATCCAGGACAAAGAGCCACTACCCAGTCTTACCTATGATTTCTATGGTGAACATGCATGTATCCATATTCACAGCGGCATCAGAGACAGTGCACGTGACCGTCGTGGTGCCCAAAGTGTATGTGCCCGCTGACACCACTGAATTGCCATTACCATCTGTACAACTGATGTCACTTGCAGTCAAGGTGTCCACATTATCCGTAGCCGAGGGTGTGGCTGACCATGTAACGACAGCAGTCGCAACTCCAGCGTCCGTAGACATGCCCGTGACTGCAGCAGGACATGTGATGTCAGGGTTTTCATCATCTGTTAGGCAGCATTAAATCAAAAGAAAATAAATGAGCTAGACGCCAAAATCACATTTGCCTTTTCTATCTGCAACTTCTGTAAGTCAATCAAAAACTATTCAGTTCCATTAATCCAGGACAAAGAGCCACTACCCACTCTTACCTATGATTTCTATGGTGAACATGCATGTATCCATATTCCCAGCGACATCAGAGACAGTGCACGTGACCGTCGTGGTGCCCAAAGTGTATGTGCCCGCTGACACCACTGAATTGCCATTCCCATCTGTACAACTGATGTCACTTGCAGTTAAGGTGTCCACATTGTCAGTAGCCGACGGTGTGGCTGACCATGTAATGACAGCAGTCGCAACTCCAGCGTCTGTAGACATGCCCGTGACTGCGTTAGGACATGTGATGTCAGGGTTTTCATCATCTGTTGGGCAGCATTAATTCAAAAGAAAATAAATGAGCTGGACGCCAAAAACAAACTTGCCTTTTCTATCCGGAACTTCTGTAAGTCAATCAAAAACTACTCAGTTCCATTAATCCAGGACAAAGAGCCACTACCCACTCTTACCTATGATTTCTATGGTGAACATGCATGTATCCATATTCCCAGCGGCATCAGAGACAGTGCACGTGACAGTCGTGGTGCCCAAAGTGTATGTGCCCGCTGACACCACTGAATTGCCATTCCCATCTGTACAACTGATGTCACTTGCAGTCAAGGTGTCCACATTATCCGTAGCCGAGGGTTTGGCTGACCATGTAGCGACAGCAGTCGCAACTCCAGCGTCCGTAGACATGCCCGTGACTGCGTTAGGACATGTGATGTCAGGGTTTTCATCATCTGTTAGGCAGCATTAAATCAAAAGAAAATAAATCAGCTGGACGACAAAAACAAATTTGCCTTTTCTATCCGGAACTTCTGTAAGTCAATCAAAAACTACTCAGTTCCATTAATCCAGGACAAAGAGCCACTACCCACTCTTACCTATGATTTCTATGGTGAACATGCATGTATCCATATTCCCAGCGGCATCAGAGACAGTGCACGTGACCGTCGTGGTGCCCAAAGTGTATGTGCCCGCTGACACCACTGAATTGCCATTCCCATCTGTACAACTGATGTCACTTGCAGTCAAGGTGTCCACATTATCCGTAGCCGAGGGTGTGGCTGACCATGTAATGACAGCAGTCGCAACTCCAGCGTCCGTAGACATGCCCGTGACTGCGTTAGGACATGTGATGTCAGGGTTTTCATCATCTGTTAGGCAGCATTAAATCAAAAGAAAATAAATCAGCTGGACGACAAAAACAAATTTGCCTTTTCTATCCGGAACTTCTGTAAGTCAATCAAAAACTACTCAGTTCCATTAATCCAGGACAAAGAGCCACTACCCAGTCTTACCTATGATTTCTATGGTGAACATGCATGTATCCATATTCCCAGCGACATCAGAGACAGTGCACGTGACCGTCGTGGTGCCCAAAGTGTATGTGCCCGCTGACACCACTGAATTGTCATTCCCATCTGTACAACTGATGTCACTTGCAGTTAAGGTGTCCACATTGTCCGTAGCCGACGGTGTGGCTGACCATGTAACGACAGCAGTCGCAACTCCAGCGTCCGTAGACATGCCCGTGACTGCGTTAGGACATGTGATGTCAGGGTTTTCATCATCTGTTGGGCAGCATTAAATCAAAAGAAAATAAATGAGCTGGACGCCAAAAACAAACTTGCCTTTTCTATCCGGAACTTCTGTAAGTCAATCAAAAACTACTCAGTTCCATTAATCCAGGACAAAGAGCCACTACCCACTCTTACCTATGATTTCTATGGTGAACATGCATGTATCCATATTCCCAGCGGCATCAGAGACAGTGCACGTGACAGTCGTGGTGCCCAAAGTGTATGTGCCCGCTGACACCACTGAATTGCCATTCCCATCTGTACAACTGATGTCACTTGCAGTCAAGGTGTCCACATTATCCGTAGCCGAGGGTGTGGCTGACCATGTAACGACAGCAGTCGCAACTCCAGCGTCTGTAGACATGCCCGTGACTGCGTTAGGACATGTGATGTCAGGGTTTTCATCATCTGTTGGGCAGCATTAAATCAAAAGAAAATAAATCAGCTGGACGACAAAAACAAATTTGCCTTTTCTATCCGGAACTTCTGTAAGTCAATCAAAAACTACTCAGTTCCATTAATCAGGTGCGGATCCAGGGGGGGGGGGGCCGCGGGGGCACGTGCCCCCCGTCAAATTTGAGTCAAAAAAAAAAAAAGGAATAGAAGGGGGAAAAAGAGGGGAGGTGAGGGAAGGAGGAGGTAACCTCCTTACAAAAATACCGGCGCCGATTTTAAACATGAGCCTGCAAACATTGCGTACTCGACTCGAGAAGCTTCAAAATAAACCGCGATCCCATCGTACGTACCCCGTACGTACGTACGTACGTATTACCCTGCATATACCGTTATTAAATGCGATTCATACGAACGTACACGATTTATTCTCAACGAACATGCAGCTTTATGTGCGCGACAAACACACGTTGCGCAGTGCTCTTTGGACCACACCATTGGTCAAGGGTGTGTTTTAGTAAGAACAATTTGCCAGCAGTTCCACGCGCTTTTGAATTACAAATTGTACTTTTTTCACGGAGTCCAAACACGTCCTTGTTTTAAATTGACTTCTTCAACGTCACGTCATCATATAAGTTTCGTAAAGACTTTATTCGAGAAACGATGTAAAACCCTGAAAAAAATTGAAACACCCCTGAAGGTCATGGATCCGTCCATAAAACGTTTTTTTAACGAAGAAAGTTGAGATCCAAAAGTTGGTTTTTGACGTTACTACGCGTTGCAGAAAATACAAATCTGAAAAGTTTGGTACATAAAAGAGATCTGTTTGTCTGGAGGACAAAAACAATCAGCAGTTTTGGCCCAAAGGCAAGTTTTAGCACTCGAGACATGCTCTTGCAAGCTAGACAGAAAGCAAGTGTGTTGCTTTTTGAATTGCAAGCGGGATATTAAATTTGATCGTAGTTCGCCGGTGGCGACGTGGGCCGGCATCCGTGCCGGACCGGGAGGTATACACCTATTCCCGATGTCTATTTCTCAACGTTATCATCAACAATTATTTACTGTAATTGTTTTTACATAACTAAATGACGAATCCACCTTCAAAATTGTAAAATGCGGAAATTGCAATCATGGTGCCGAAAGACCCGATGTCTATTATAATGTAAAGACCAGACGCAGTGTCTCACACAATTTGTCTTGCTGCGCCGCCGATCTGCCGATGGTTTATTTACAAATACATGCACGAGCAATAGGCCCTATTCTTGAAATTGAAACTTGACTGAATTAAAAGAACATTTCTTTAAAATGTTTGGGCATTTTACATTATGCAAAAAAAAAGAGGTAGAAACTTGGATGACCGTATGATTAATTTCTGTAGTCATGAGATAAAACTGAGCTGTGAAGTTACAATGCAGGCTAATTGCTCCTCTGTTTTAGTTTGATTAAATTACACTAATTTTCAACTTGAATTCAATTAACATGTTCAGGCGGTTTCTACTTGTTGATAAACTGAACATTTCAACTTGAAACAAAACATTAGAAAGCATCTTTACACCAGTTTACAAACTAAGTTTTTACAATTCCTTTTTTAAAAATATAATGCACGAAGACACATGCAGACGAAAATACATGGTATCAAGTGAAGAACAGAAGAAACTGAGAAGGCTTGCAAAAGCAAGATTATATTTTAATCAATGAAAAAATCTTAGAATCTTAAAACAATTTACTCAAATAACTCCGGATAAGAGGGGCCAGGAATTGCCTCAGATTGCACCACAGAGCATCTAGAATCCAAAATTTCCCGGGGCCCTTAAGCGGGCCCCGGACCCCACACCGAAAGATGTTCGCGCTCCGCATTGGTCTTCGGAAAGATGCCCTATACTCATCCTTGCAAGATACAATTCCTTTTCAAAAATAAGCACGGAAGTTACTATGAAGACGAAAATGTTTGGTTTTACAAGTGAAGAACAGAAGAAACTGAAAAGGCTTGTAAACGCAAGAGTATATTATAAACCAATGAAAAACATCCTTATAATCTTAAAATGTTTTGCTCAAATAACTCAGGGGAAAAGGGGCCAGGAATCCCCTCAGAATACACCACAGAGCATCTAGAATTCTAAATTTTCCGGGGCCCTTAAGCGGGCCCCGGACCCCACGCCGTAAGGCAGGCGTGATCCGCCCTCGCATTAGTCCTCGGAGCAAATGCCACAACGCACCGTTGCAACAGTTTACAAAACTAAGTCAATACAATTCCTTTTCCAAAATAAAAAGCAAGAAAATATAAAGACGTAAAATGGTTTTCGACTTCAAGCACACAGTAACTTAAAAATTGTAAAAGTAAGAGTATGTTTTGAAAAAATCCTTAAAATCTTTAACACTTTTGCTCAACTAATTCAGGGGAAAGGAGCCAGGAATCGCCTCAGATTGCACCACAGAGCATCTATAATCCAAAATTTCCCGGGGCCCTTAAGCGGGCCCCGGACCCCACGCCGTAAGGGCTTCGCGCTTCGCGCTCGCATTAGTTCTCGGAGCAAATAATTTTGCTCCAACAGTGTGCCCCCCGTCTAAAATAATCCTGGATCCGCGCCTGTTAATCCAGGACAAAGAGCCACTACCCACTCTTACCTATGATTTCTATGGTGAACATGCATGTATCCATATTCCCAGCGGCATCAGAGACAGTGCACGTGACCGTCGTGGTGCCCAAAGTGTATGTGCCCGCTGACACCACCGAATTGCCATTCCCATCTGTACAACTGATGTCACTTGCAGTCAAGGTGTCCACATTATCTGTAGCCGAGGGTGTGGCTGACCATGTAACGACAGCAGTCGCAACTCCAGCGTCCGTAGACATGCCCGTGACTGCGTTAGGACATGTGATGTCAGGGTTTTCATCATCTGTTGGGCAGCATTAAATCAAAAGAAAATAAATCAGCTGGACGCAAAAAAACAAACTTGCCTTTTCTATCCGGAACTTCTGTAAGTCAATCGAAAACTACTCAGTTCCATTAATCCAGGACAAAGAGCCACTACCCACTCTTACCTATGATTTCTATGGTGAACATGCATGTATCCATATTCCCAGCAGCATCAGAGACAGTGCACGTGACCGTCGTGGTGCCCAAAGTGTATGTGCCCGCAGACACCACTGTATTGCCATTCCCATCTGTACAACTGATGTCACTTGCAGTCAAGGTGTCCACATTATCCGTAGCCGAGGGTGTGGCTGACCATGTAACGACAGCAGTCGCAACTCCAGCGTCCGTAGACATGCCCGTGACTGCAGCAGGACATGTGATGTCAGGGTTTTCATCATCTGTTAGGCAGCATTAAATCAAAAGAAAATAAATCAGCTGGACGCCAACAACAAATTTGCCTTTTCTATCTGCAACTTCTGTAAGTCAATCAAAAACTACTCAGTTCCATTAATCCAGGACAAAGAGCCACTACCCACTCTTACCTATGATTTCTATGGTGAACATGCATGTATCCATATTCCCAGCGGCATCAGAGACAGTGCACATGACCGTCGTGGTGCCCAAAGTGTATGTGCCCGCTGACACCACCGAATTGCCATTCCCATCTGTACAACTGATGTCACTTGCAGTCAAGGTGTCCACATTATCTGTAGCCGAGGGTGTGGCTGACCATGTAACGACAGCAGTCGCAACTCCAGCGTCCGTAGACATGCCCGTGACTGCGTTAGGACATGTGATGTCAGGGTTTTCATCATCTGTTGGGCAGCATTAAATCAAAAGAAAATAAATGAGCTGGACGCAAAAAAACAAACTTGCCTTTTCTATCCGGAACTTCTGTAAGTCAATCGAAAACTACTCAGTTCCATTAATCCAGGACAAAGAGCCACTACCCACTCTTACCTATGATTTCTATGGTGAACATGCATGTATCCATATTCCCAGCAGCATCAGAGACAGTGCACGTGACCGTCGTGGTGCCCAAAGTGTATGTGCCCGCAGACACCACTGTATTGCCATTCCCATCTGTACAACTGATGTCACTTGCAGTCAAGATGTCCACATTATCCGTAGCCGAGGGTGTGGCTGACCATGTAACGACAGCAGTCGCAACTCCAGCGTCCGTAGACATGCCCGTGACTGCAGCAGGACATGTGATGTCAGGGTTTTCATCATCTGTTAGGCAGCATTAAATCAAAAGAAAATAAATCAGCTGGACGCCAACAACAAATTTGCCTTTTCTATCTGCAACTTCTGTAAGTCAATCAAAAACTACTCAATTCCATTAATCCAGGACAAAGAGCCACTACCCACTCTTACCTATGATTTCTATGGTGAACATGCATGTATCCATATTCCCAGCGGCATCAGAGACAGTGCACGTG